TCTTTACAAAATCCAAAGTCCCAAGAATGATTTGAAAACAAGAGCAAAGAAACAATGTAATACCCATGATAACATGATAAAGGATAAAGACATGGAAACAATCACAAAAAAAGGTGTTCTCCNGCTTTGTCATTCCAAAATCCAAACAAACATAGAAAAAAAAATAAAGGAATAGAATATTCATCCAACAAAGAATCATCAAGCAGCCACCTTCTTTCGTCACATGACTCTTGATTCTAAGTATAGAAACTATCAAAATAAAAGAACCGAAAGAATTTACAATAACAACTACATGTATACAAAAAAAAAAAAAAAACCTTTCCTTTTTGTAATTCCAATTATGCAATTGGAGCTTATCGGCACAAATGAATTAATTTAGATAGTCATTTGTGGCTCCAGTGGCGACTAGATTAACGTGTTATTACTTCAAGAGAAGTTTCCATTGAAGTCCATTATGAATCTTCAGGTACCTATTATTAGATTTATGGGCACTATCTAATAGTAAGAAGTATAAAAAAATATATTCTTTTTATATACATTTGAAACACTGCTGGTTATATTCTCTTCATCAAAAAATCAAATAAGCCATTCAAGGGTCTTGTTATTCCTGTTCATATGGTCTCTCATCATATGGTACCTAAACTAAATAATTCTAGGATAACAATGGAAGTTCAGGCCTCTCCGGTACAACTAGGACCATAGTTCTATAATTTCTACACGAATCTCTATTATCTAAATTCTTTACAAAATCCAAAGTCCCAAGAATGATTTGAAAACAAGAGCAAAGAAACAATGTAATACCCATGATAACATGATAAAGGATAAAGACATGGAAACAATCACAAAAAAAGGTGTTCTCCACCCAAGCATCCTCCCAGAACTAAACTCTCTCCCCATTACCCACCAGAACACCTAAATTTGGGAAAACCTCGTCAATCCCCAAGATATGAATTTCACGGACATCAAAAACTTCCTCTTTCAACCCTATTAAGGTCTTATCCATTGACCTATAAACCATATTTGCTCCTGATAACTATGTGCTCGAGACAATTTTGTTCCAAGGGAAACCACCAAAGTCACTTACCCACTAATGCAATATTTCTTCTCTTCAAATTTCCAATGTAAAGCCCTCTTTGTCCTTAAACCTGGACACCATCTCCCAATTAATTAAATGATCTTTCCACCCTTCTCTACTTCCCTCACACAAAAAAATCTCTCCTCAGTTTTTCAATTTCCCTAGCTATTTTCCCAGGCAACTCAAATAAAGATAGAAAGTATGTGAGAACACTAAAAAGAACTGATTGCACAAGAGTTAACCTTCCCCCTTTTCAAATGCAAACTCTTTTCCATCCATCTAATTTTTTCCCCACTTTTTCAACCACCAAATCCCAAAAAGATAAAGACTTTGGATTCCCACCAAGAGGCAACACTACGTATCTTAATGGCACTCCCCCACTTTACACCCCAAAAGTCCCACTACTCTTAATCTTATCCTCATGTGAATTAATACTCTTATCCAACAAGAACACTATTATCCAAATTCATTTTCAAGCTTGACACCAATCCAAATGCCTCCCTAATATTCTTTAAATTTAACACTTTATCCTCATCCCGTACGGGAAGAATATTGTAACATTAGCAAACTGCAAATTGAATACTAAAATTCTATCTCTTCCCACTCTAAAGTTTTCCACAAGAACTAGCTCTCAGTCATTCTCACTAACGTACTCAAACCATCAACAACTAAAATAAAGAGAAAATGATCACTTTTCCTCAATCCTCTAAATGCCTTAAATTTTGCATCCAAGCTTCCCATTAAGCATGCCAAAGAAGTTCATAGAATGTAACCATCACTAAATCCAACTTCTCCATTGTCTCTCCAAAGCCCCATCTCCTCCGAGACATAATCCAAAAAGTCCCGGTCAACATAATTATGTGCCTTTTCAAAATCAATTTTAAATACAATACCTCATCACCTTTAGCTTTACACTCCTCCACTACCTCATGTGCCATAAGAGCAACATCCAAAATTTGTATATCCTTCACAAAAGCTCCTTGACACTAAAAAACAGTCTCACTCAGAATCTCCCTTAATCTCAAAGACAACACTTTAGCAATGATCTTACAAAGACTAGACACCAAACTAATTGGCCTAAAATCCTCAAGTTCAAGGACCTAACTTTTTTTTGGGACCAAACAAATAAAAGTTAAATTTGTATAATTGCATTGACCACACCATTTTGATAGAATTGAAAGAAGACTTTCATCAAATCTCCTTTGATAATATCCCAACAATCTTGAGAGCCAAAGTGAAACAACCAGGGCCAGAAGCCTTTTCCATCCCACACTAAAAAATAGACCTTCTTACATCATCTTCATCAAAAGGCCCCTCCAATAATCTAGAATTCCTCTCATCTATAGGTCACCACCCCAAACTATCCAACCTTGATCTAACACAATCCTAACCTGAACAAAGGTTGGAAAAAAAAATCCACAATTTTTACTCTCAATCATCATATCATCCTCAATAATCATTCCGTTATCCAATCCCAACTATCAATAAATTTTTTTCTTCCTCCTCCCATTAGCAACCCAACAAAAAAGCTTTGAATTATTTTTTTTTGTCCACTTTACTGAGGTCATTTGTCTCCAACTAATTTCTTCTTCAAAAATAACTTCCTCAGAATTATTTCTCAANGTCCACTTTACTGGGGCCATTTGTCTCCAACTAATTTCTTCTTCAAAAATAACTTCCTCAGAATTATTTCTCAATTCCCATCTCTCTTTCCTCAAATTGTCATAAAACCTAACAATCTTCAAATTGTCAATCTCTCCAATTGTATTCATCAACAAAGTTTTTGTGTCTTATATCCCCAAATACTTCCTTATCCCAACTCTTCACTCTATGCCTCACATGTTCGAATTTTTTTATTAATTTAAATTCTTCCCACCCCTGATAGCTACCCTCTTCCCACCACTCCTTAAATTGTCCTCTAAATCCATGGTGTTCCAACCACATATTCTCAAATCTAAAAAGGCAAGAACCCTACCTAACCATAGATGAATCAAGAAGAATAGGACAATGATATGATACAACTCTCGACGAACTCTCTTGTCTCTCCCTTGAGAAACTATCATCTTACTCAAGAGAGAAAAGAAATTTATCCAACTTATTACATACTAGAAATTCTCTAAAATTGGACCAAGTAAAGATACCATTACTTAGAGGAGGATCCGTAAGCCTAGTTTCCCTAATAAAAAAATCAAAGGCCTAATACTCCTAAGTCACTCACCTGCCATTCAATTTTTCCAAAAGATATCTTACAAAATTAAAATCTCCACCCATACACCAATAAGGAGAACACAAACCGTACGAACCTGCTAACTCCTACAATCTACAATGCACACTAGGACAATTTGGTCCATACATACCAGTTAACCACCATTCCCCTTCTTCATTAGGCCTAATCTTAACCTTAATTGAGAATTCCCCCTCTACCGAATCATTTACTTTAACGGTTCTTTCATACCATGTGATCACAATACCACGCAACCTACCAAGCGAGGGCAAGAAAACCCAATTTCTATATCTAGAACCCTATAAACTCTTAATCTCCTATTAATCTTTTCTTTCTTGGAATCTTGCAAAATAACCACATCGGAACCTACTCTTAAAAGCACCTCTTTTATTGAACTTATCTTTTTACTAGATCCAAGACCCCTCACATTCCAACTTATAATTTTCATAATAAACTTTCTTCACTCACACCATTCCTTCTAGACACAAAACCTTCATAATTGAACCCAGACTTCCAATTTTATAATACCCCGACCCTTTTTTCCTTAGATTTCCCCCTTTTCTTCTTTGTTTTTCTTTATTATAGACTAAAGACAAATCCATCTTCTCCAAGAATTTCTTCAAAATAGTCCACTTCTCATCATTAGATAGAATATACTTGCCCACTCCCTTACTGTCCTCATCACCCTCCCTTCACAATTCTGGGATCAAATGAGACTTCCCTGATCAACACAATCCATACCGACAGGAGGTTGAGCTTAGTATCCCTAAGAACTAAATTCAAGGATCATAATTTCGTTTCAAAATGGTCAAAACGGCCATTTTCATTTTTAATGAGACCAAAACAAATCATAAATGAAATTAAAATTCCAATACTTCGAGATGTTTCGAGGTGTTTAGATATATTTTAGCTTGTCTACACCATTGTTTCAATATTTTTGAGGTGTTTTACAATATATTTTGACCAATATTTCGTCATGTTTTGGAAATGAATTTCCAAATTTATTATTTGTTTTCCCTATGTTCCCAAAATGTTTCTACTTTCTATGTGACCGAAACAAAATTTTAATCATTAAATCATTCATATGTGGCATCATCACTTTCAATACACATCAATGCTTTACAGAAGTCTTCCTTTTGTTCTCCCATCGAGAACCAGAACTAGCAAGTTTACCGTACCCCAAAACTTCATTGTTCATGGAAACGAATGAGGAAAATNTCTTCCTTTTGTTCTCCCATCGAACCAGATCTAGCAAGTTTACCGTACCCCAAAACTTCATTGTTCATGGAAACGAATGAGGAAAATCCCTCAACTCCCTAAGACCACATCTTTTATTCCACTCCCCTCAAGATTTGGATGAATTTGACAAACATTATCACTCCCTCTACTAGACCCTAAACCCCGACTCCCCGAGATGCATAATACCTACGTGCTTAAATTGGGTAAAGAAGACATATTGTTGCTCATTAGTGAGGCATACCTTCAAATTATCTTTTGAATTTGGACCCTCCACTCGATTTCTCCCCAAACTAGCAACTATTCTTCATTGTTGAATAACCCCGCAATCTGACAATCAGAATCTTACCCTTTCATTCTCTTCTCAAATGCCATGTCTTCCATCTGAAAAGAAGCATCATAACTATCATTATATCACCCAGACACCTGTATGAACCTCAAAGAGATCAATTGACAGCTTCGAAGCTATTTGGTCCCTCTGGAAGTCGCATTCCCTAGTCGAACTCTACTACCATTATCAAAATCTTCTCTTTCTTTAGACCATTGGTCATACTCATCCACCTCACCTTGCAAAACCAGATCATCCATCGATTGTTGTGCTACATCACTCACCTTCATCTCTTGTTGATCATTATCTGAATCATAAGCCGACAAGATCTTCTTGTTTTTAAAGTAATTTTGGTTCTTCAGCTTTAAAAGGGCCCACCAGTATTGGGCTACAAATTAAGTCCATAGACATGTTAAAGGATCCAAATGTCAAATGGGTATTTTATACAAAACCCATTACAATATTCCCAGCCCACCAACTCTCTTTCCGCAATTACGCCCGCATTAACTCCACTAATCCTTTTTTTGTCAAAATAAACGAAAAATTATTATTAATAAAAACAAAGTTTACATTAAAATTGTTGGATAAGAAATCCAACCAATAAAAAGCAAAACATAATCAAATAAGGAAATACGTAGAACAACCTTTATATCACAAGAAGCATGTCATCCCGAAAAAATTGTAACAGGCAGGTTTCATTTAAAATCCTTTGTAACCGAAACCCAAAATGATGCCAATAAATGAATATGGCCCCATAAACCTTCCACACGCTCATCTCAATTTTCGAAGATTCTCACATTTCTCTCCTTCCAAATAACCCACAAAGTCGTCATAATAGTGCAATTCCAAAGCGTCAATCCCTTATCATTCCTCCCAAGATCTACCAAATCTAGAACAAATAAAGATGTAGCCAATGGGGAATCACTCAATTCAAACCTACCAATCTAAATAACTTATACCACAAAAACAATGCAATAGGACAATGTAAAAATAAATGATCAATATTTACATAATTCCCTTTACATCTGACACACCATTGCGGGTAAAGACAAGATTAAGGTCTCCTTTTTTGAAATATATCAACTATATTAATCTTGCCATGTGCAATAGTCCATGCAAAAAACTTGCACTGTCATTAGCACTTTAGTGTTCCAAATCATCATAGTAGGTATAAAAAGCAAACAAGAAGAATCATCAAAAAGAGAATCATAGAAAGATTTACATGAAAAACACCTTCTAGCACATCCCCTAAGCACAAAAAAAAAAAATCATTTAAGAGTATTCAAAGGAGATATCACATTCCTGGTATCTCTATCATCAAGATTTCTAGGAAACCAATGTTTGGATAACCTCGTCAATCCATGAGATATAAATTTCCATGGGCGTTAAAAACTTCCCCTTTTAACCCAGTTTGGGTATCATCCATTGGCCGGTGCAATGTTATTTAAGGCGTAAAGCAAATCGAAGCGAACCTGTCTCTTGAGAGCCTAGGCGAGAAGCGAGAAGTGAAGCGAGCACTTCATTAAAGTAAAGCGAACAATATACAAAATAAGTAAATATTTTAGTTTCATACTTTAATTACTCCAAAATATTCAAGTTTTAAGGTTTTAGTTTCATATAAAATATTAAATGCAATCAAAATAATAAACATCAACATATTTTAAATAGACAAGATATTAAATATTGAACATTATTGTATTCTAAAAATAATCAATTGACATAACCACGTCATCTAAATGTAAAATTAGCAAATGTGAGTTCAACTTTCACCGTGATTGATTAATATCACCACTAAATANCCACGTCATCTAAATGTAAAGTTAGCAAATGTGAGTTCAACTTTCACCGTGATTGATTAATATCACCACTAAATAAAGCACTCACAAATTGATTAATCAAATAGAGCATATAGCAAATTGATTAATCAATTTGATTAACCAAGCAAATTGATTAACAAGAACATTCACCTCAAAACAAAGCATTCAACATTATCTAATCACAATAAGACAGATTGTCATATGATACTGTTACACGAATCAATCAATTTATTTTATACATATACACATATAACATCAGCTCTGCTAGGGTTTGGTTAATGTTAAAGAAGAAAAAAGAGGAGGAGAAAATAAAAAAACTGTAGCTAGGCGTTCGCTTTTCTCGCCTGGCTCGCTTCGTCACCTAAGCTCGCTTTTTCCTCGCTTNTATATAACATTAGCTCTGCTAGGGTTTGGTTAATGTTAAAGAAGAAAAAAGAGGAGGAGAAAATAAAAAAACTGTAGCTAGGCGTTCGCTTTTCTCGCCTGGCTCGCTTCGTCACCTAAGCTCGCTTTTTCCTCGCTTTATTTAACCTCGCTTCGCCTTGAATGTTCAAGGCGACCACGGCTCGCTTCGCTTCGCTTCGCTTCTCGCCTAAGCGCTCACCTAGGCTCGCTTTTCACAACACTGNCTTTTTCCTCGCTTTATTTAACCTCGCTTCGCCTTGAATGTTCAAGGCAACCACGGCTCGCTTCGCTTCGCTTCTCGCCTAAGCGCTCACCTAGGCTCGCTTTTCACAACACTGGGTCGGTGACCTATCCTCACCATTACTCTCCTCATCACACTCCTTCCATACGTGTGGTATAATATTATCTAACTCTTAAATATTGCCCCTTCCTCANTGGGTCGGTGACCTATCCTCACCATTACTCTCCTCATCACACTCCTTCCATACGTGTGGTATAATATTATCTAACTCTTAAATATTGCCCCTTCCTCAATAATAGCATACTTAATTCTGGAGTAATTGTGCGCTTATTCAAGCTAATACACCCCTAATTACCTTTGGTGCAATAAAACTGTGCGACCACTCCATCCTGAGTACCATGTGACAAAACCCTAACCAACTCATCATCTTCAACCTCTCACCTTAGTGTACAATTTTTGAAGCAACTAGCAGTTATTACCAGAAAAGCCAATTCTCGAAAGGGCCCTCACCTGGTGTTGATAGCATTTCCCTTCAAGTTCCACCATAAACAAAGTTGAAATAAAGCCTTTTCACATTTACCCACCTTAATTTTGACTTGAAACAAATTTTACAAAATTGTTACCAAAAACGTACAATCCACGATTCGATTCAATTTAGTCCTCATTCAATTTTTATCTTACTATAGAATCATTTTGGTCAAGAATCACACATGAATCGTACGATTCNACAAAACCCATTACAATATTCCCAGCCCACCAACTCTCTTTCCGCAATTACGCCCGCATTAACTCCACTAATCCTTTTTTTGTCAAAATAAACGAAAAATTATTATTAATAAAAACAAAGTTTACATTAAAATTGTTGGATAAGAAATCCAACCAATAAAAAGCAAAACATAATCAAATAAGGAAATACGTAGAACAACCTTTATATCACAAGAAGCATGTCATCCCGAAAAAATTGTAACCGGCAGGTTTCATTTAAAATCCTTTGTAACCGAAACCCAAAATGATGCCAATAAATGAATATGGCCCCATAAACCTTCCACACGCTCATCTCAATTTTCGAAGATTCTCACATTTCTCTCCTTCCAAATAACCCACAAAGTCGTCATAATAGTGCAATTCCAAAGCGTCAATCCCTTATCATTCCTCCCAAGATCTACCAAATCTAGAACAAATAAAGATGTAGCCAATGGGGAATCACTCAATTCAAACCTACCAATCTAAATAACTTATACCACAAAAACAATGCAATAGGACAATGTAAAAATAAATGNACAAATAAAGATGTAGCCAATGGGGAATCACTCAATTCAAACCTACCAATCTAAATAACTTATACCACAAAAACAATGCAATAGGACAATGTAAAAATAAATGATCAATATTTACATAATTTCCTTTACATCTGACACACCATTGCGGGTAAAGACAAGATTAAGGTCTCCTTTTTTGAAATATATCAACTATATTAATCTTGCCATGTGCAATAGTCCATGCAAAAAACTTGCACTGTCATTAGCACTTTAGTGTTCCAAATCATCATAGTAGGTATAAAAAGCAAACAAGAAGAATCATCAAAAAGAGAATCATAGAAAGATTTACATGAAAAACACCTTCTAGCACATCCCCTAAGCACAAAAAAAAAAAATCATTTAAGAGTATTCAAAGGAGATATCACATTCCTGGTATCTCTATCATCAAGATTTCTAGGAAACCAATGTTTGGATAACCTCGTCAATCCATGAGATATAAATTTCCATGGGCGTTGAAAACTTCCCCTTTTAACCCAGTTTGGGTATCATCCATTGGCCGGTGCAATGTTATTTAAGGCGTAAAGCAAATCGAAGCGAACCTGTCTCTTGAGAGCCTAGGCGAGAAGCGAGAAGTGAAGCGAGCACTTCATTAAAGTAAAGCGAACAATATACAAAATAAGTAAATATTTTAGTTTCATACTTTAATTACTCCAAAATATTCAAGTTTTAAGGTTTTAGTTTCATATAAAATATTAAATGCAATCAAAATAATAAACATCAACATATTTTAAATAGACAAGATATTAAATATTGAACATTATTGTATTCTAAAAATAATCAATTGACATAACCACGTCATCTAAATGTAAAATTAGCAAATGTGAGTTCAACTTTCACCGTGATTGATTAATATCACCACTAAATAAAGCACTCACAAATTGATTAATCAAATAGAGCATATAGCAAATTGATTAATCAATTTGATTAACCAAGCAAATTGATTAACAAGAACATTCACCTCAAAACAAAGCATTCAACATTATCTAATCACAATAAGACAGATTGTCATATGATACTGTTACACGAATCAATCAATTTATTTTATACATATACACATATAACATCAGCTCTGCTAGGGTTTGGTTAATGTTAAAGAAGAAAAAAGAGGAGGAGAAAATAAAAAAACTGTAGCTAGGCGTTCGCTTTTCTCGCCTGGCTCGCTTCGTCACCTAAGCTCGCTTTTTCCTCGCTTTATTTAACCTCGCTTCGCCTTGAATGTTCAAGGCGACCACGGCTCGCTTCGCTTCGCTTCTCGCCTAAGCGCTCACCTAGGCTCGCTTTTCACAACACTGGGTCGGTGACCTATCCTCACCATTACTCTCCTCATCACACTCCTTCCATACGTGTGGTATAATATTATCTAACTCTTAAATATTGCCCCTTCCTCAATAATAGCATACTTAATTCTGGAGTAATTGTGCGCTTATTCAAGCTAATACACCCCTAATTACCTTTGGTGCAATAAAATTGTGCGACCACTCCATCCTGAGTACCATGTGACAAAACCCTAACCAACTCATCATCTTCAACCTCTCACCTTAGTGTACAATTTTTGAAGCAACTAGCAGTTATTACCAGAAAAGCCAATTCTCGAAAGGGCCCTCACCTGGTGTTGATAGCATTTCCCTTCAAGTTCCACCATAAACAAAGTTGAAATAAAGCCTTTTCACATTTACCCACCTTAATTTTGACTTGAAACAAATTTTACAAAATTGTTACCAAAAACGTACAATCCACGATTCGATTCAATTTAGTCCTCATTCAATTTTTATCTTACTATAGAATCATTTTGGTCAAGAATCACACATGAATCGTACGATTCGATTCGAATCGAAGGAATTATACGATTCGTTTTATAATTTTTTTAACCTTATTTCTAGTTAAACAAATAGGCCCACCCCAATATATAAAACTCACGTCTCTCTCTGTATCTCCTATGCGCGTCTCTACCTCTCAAGTGACAGTTCAAGCATCTGTAAACATCACACAGAGATGACATCTTCTTCCCACTAGGTATGTTTCTTCTTCTTCAAAAACAAATACCAAACCGTAACATACCTTACTTTTTCTTCAATAAATGGTCAGATTTTTGTTTTTCATCAAAAAAATATTTTTCAATTGAATTTCGGAAGTCATTTTCTAAGTTTACATATTTAAATCAATATCGGCTTTTCCCAATTTAATATAACTTCATTGGTAGGAGGGCAATAGCAATTTATCGATTTTATGTATGATGTTTCTTTCATCGTGGCCATTTTGAGGAAACAATTTATCATGCATTAAGAAAGAATTAACAGAGGTAAAAACTCAAGTGTAGGTTTATAAAGATCTATAAAGGCTAGCATCTTTCCATTTAGACAACATAATCATGTCAATACTGTCATTTGATTATTTTTAAAATACAATGACGATTAATATTTAATGTCTTGCCTATTTTAAATATGTACATGTTATTTTTTATCAGTGTTGTGACGTTCCAAAATTTGGGGGTCCTTTCTCAGCCCATTGATCACCCATCAACCTGGAAAAATACTTGTGAGTACCGTATAATCCAATACCGCGTTGTTACACCTCATTCACCGGGATCATAACCAAAATGAAATTTTGGGTAGTCTCCTTTGTACGGGAACTCTATCCAATACATATCTCGTGCATACAATAATCATATGACCATTCCAAGGTCCACATCCCAAAATATAGACTTATAATTTAATCATTTATATCACCCTAAAAAAAGAGCTCAAGATGTGAAGGCTTGGCAATGTTTCATTTAAAATTTCAATTTTTGGGAAGAGGTACTTGTACCTTGGATAAATAGTACCGGTACTTGAGCCTTCAGTTTACCAAGTATTGGTACTTGTACCTAGGCCCACTGTCTACAGGGTAATGATACCTGTGATCATAGATATCGGTACTAGTGAGCATAGATACCGATATCTGAGCCCACTGTCCGGGGTACCGATACCTGTGAGCATAGGTATCGGTACGTGAACTCTCTGGATGCCAGGTACCTGTGGGGTACCAGTAACTAGAACCTAGATTTTTCCAAATTTTCAAAAATTAAACTTTTAGCCACACAACTCATACAACACTCATTCCATTCATTTGTTTTATATGAGATTACATGTTGGGCCCAAGTGAGGGCCATCTACCGAAACTTGTCCTACACCTTAAATATGTCCCCATAAAGGGTGAGCGTGCTCAATAAGGTATCTCTTAAGTAGGCTACTCCCCAACCCAAACGTATATGGAATGTCACATGCAATTCATTACATAAAACATCCATTTAAATACATACAGATCATAACTGAATACTACTATTTTACACCATGTCATGAGATGAACTCACGCATGTAATGCAAACCCGAGCCCTCCACAGGCTCCCGTAACACGTCATGCACATGCATATGGTCATTCCAAGCTACCGTCATTGATGTTAAACACTCAACAACTATTTTATAAAATCTTGTGTCTTACTTGGGGTAGGTATTTATGAATTTCCACCAACGAGTACCTAACCGACACGGCATCTACAGACTTCCACCAACGATTCCGCGCACCTTAACGCACTTTATGGACTCAATACCAACGGGAATGTGTATTCAAAATTATCAAATCTTGCACCCGAGAAAGAATCTAGCCCTTGCTAACCCCGACACATATTTTCAATACAAATCCGTGCAACTCAGTTGAACCTAAATTCAACTTTTTAGAACCTACGTCTTAACCCACCAAGGATGGTATTTGATTAAAAACATGCACACAGACTCACACTCATGTCGAATACCCACGAATGCGATGTTACCTGTGTATATACAAATGTAAGATACAATTACATTTCATGTCATTATGCACATGAAATGTTGCAAGGCATATAATGAACATATTCATTTCCCACAAACATTTCTAATTCCACAAATGTCAATTATATCATAAAACATATATTAACATTTCATACATCACTAAGCATGTTATAACACATTCAATGCAAATAACACACTTATGGTCTATTTGGTACAAAAGATGAAAATACAANCATATATTAACATTTCATACATCACTAAGCATGTTATAACACATTCAATGCAAATAACACACCTATGGTCTATTTGGTACAAAAGATGAAAATACAGAATGAATAAAAAGTGAAAGGAATAAATTTTTCATCCATGAAAGAAAAAAGTTATTTTCTNAATATGTACATGTTATTTTTTATCAGTGTTGTGACGTTCCAAAATTTGGGGGTCCATTCTCAGCCCATTGATCACCCATCAACCTGGAAAAATACTTGTGAGTACCGTATAATCCGATACCGCGTTGTTACACCTCATTCACCGGGATCATAACCAAAATGAAATTTTGGGTAGTCTCCTTTGTACGGGAACTCTATCCAATACATATCCCGTGCATACAATAATCATATGACCATTCCAAGGTCCACATCCCAAAATATAGACTTATAATTTAATCATTTATATCACCCTAAAAAAAGAGCTCAAGATGTGAAGGCTTGGCAATGTTTCATTTAAAATTTCAATTTTTGGGAAGAGGTACTGGTACCTTGGATAAATAGTACCGGTACTTGAGCCTTCTGTTTACCAAGTATTGGTACTTGTACCTAGGCCCACTGTCTACAGGGTAATGATACCTGTGATCATAGATATCAGTACTAGTGAGCATAGATACCGATATCTGAGTCCACTGTCCGGGGTACCAATACCTGTGAACATAGGTATCGGTACGTGAACTCTCTGGATGCCAGGTACCTGTGGGGTACCAGTAACTAGAACCTAGATTTTTCCAAATTTTCAAAAATTGAACTTTTAGCCACACAACTCATACAACACTCATTCCATTCATTTGCTTTATATGAGATTACATGTTGGGCCCAAGTGAGGGCCATCTACCGAAACTTGTCCTACACCTGAAATATGTCCCCATAAAGGGTGAGCATGCTCAATAAGGTATCTCTTAAGTAGGCTACTCCCCAACCCAAACGTATATGGAATGTCACATGCAATTCATTACATAAAACATCCATTTAAATACATACAGATCATAACTGAATACTACTATTTTACACCATGTCATGAGATGAACTCACGCATGTAATGCAAACCCGAGCCCTCCACAGGCTCCCGTAACACGTCATGCACATGCATATGGTCATTCCAAGCTACCGTCATTGATGTTAAACACTCAACAACTATTTTATAAAATCTTGTGTCTTACTTGGAGTAGGTATTTATGAATTTCCACCAACGAGTACCTAACCGACACGACATCTATAGACTTCCACCAACGATTCCGCGCACCTTAACGCACTTTATGGACTCAATACCAACGGGAATGTGTATTCAAAATTATCGAATCTTGCACCCGAGAAAGAATCTAGCCCTTGCTAACCCCGACACATATTTTCAATACAGATCTGTGCAACTCAGTTGAACCTAAATTCAACTTTTTAGAACCTACGTCTTAACCCACCAAGGATGGTATTTGATTAAAAACATGCACACAGACTCACACTCATGTCGAATACCCACGAATGCGATGTTACCTGTGTATATACAAATGTAAGATACAATTACATTTCATGTCATTATGCACATGAAATGTTGCAAGGCATATAATGAACATATTCATTTCCCACAAACATTTCTAATTCCACAAATGTCAATTATATCATAAAACATATATTAACATTTCATACATCACTAAGCATGTTATAACACATTCAATGCAAATAACACACTTATGGTCTATTTGGTACAAAAGATGAAAATACAAAAGGAATAAAAAGTGAAAGGAATAAATTTTTCATCCATGAAAGAAAAAAGTTATTTTCTCTTTTTTGTTTAGTAAGGGGGATGAAAAATAAAAGGAATATATTTTCCATTGTTTGATATTAGATGGAAATTAAGAGAAAGGAAAACCATGCATACCCAATTTTACATTTCTACCTTTTAAATATATGAAGTGAATTTTAATATTACAAATCAATCCAATCAATTTTGTCCAGTTTTTAATCCCCTTATTTTTGTTTATTGATTCCTCCAATGGCTTTTCAATAAATAATATGAAAATTTCGGTGTTCATTTCTTATGTGTACCACTATATGCATGTCAACAAATTAATATTTCGATCAAAGGTGGCTCAATACAAATATTTTTTAACATGCATGTCTAAATTATTTTTCAAATAATGAATGTTAATAAAAATTTTGAAATATAAGTTACGCCTACTAACTCTATTTTTTAGACATTTTGTGTATTTCTTGTCAGCAAAAAAATTTAACCTAGAAAAAATAGATGAATTTAAAATGATTGTCGAAGAAGGTATCCTCAATAACACCATTGGTTTTGCCAATTGAGTTCATCGTCTCGTTGTCCTTGTCTAAGAAGTGCAACTCATTGTTCATTGTTTGAGAAGTGGGTTTTGTTTTGCAGAATATTTATTAGAATACAACAAAGGGCAAAAAAGTAAAATAATCCTTCAAAAGTCAAATTGTTATGCCTTTTTCTCATTTTTCGGCCATTTTTGGGGGGAAAGCAAATTGTGGGCAGGAGGAAAACACCCTCCCTCCAATTTTCCTTTCCATCATTCTTTCCTTTAATACCAAACGATGGAAAGCTTTTCCATCCACCCCATTTTCCTTCAAACCAAACATATTGTTAATCATCCATATACATTTATTAAACACCTATAAGGCATAATTGTAAACACATAGCATGTCCAAACAACACATCTTTCATGAAATTTCAAATCAAGCAATTTCATCAAACCCAAATCATACAAGAATTGGTTTAGACATACTCTTATACCTATTTTCCATATTCTAGCTACACTAGGTGTATGATAAACAAGAGAATTCATCTATAGTCATCCTACCCATGTCATATACAACCCTAGGTTGAAAATAAACCTAATTAGGAAAGAATCCCTACCTCTTGTAGCGTATATCCATGTAGAAGAAATCTCAAAGATCCCAAATCAAGTTTTCACAGCTTTATCTCGAATTTTTCATCTTTGAAATTTTGGTGAAACTCACGATCGTTAGTATTGTCTCGTAACTCTCGCCGCGTAGAACGACTTTAATTCTTGACTCAAAATAATCCGTTGGTTGGATCATCATAGATTGGAGAAAGAAGGGTGAAGAACTTTCAGATTTCTCTCTTCTCTGGAATTTCTTGCCTGAACAATGGGAAAGAAAATCTAATTTTCTTCCCCTTTTATACTCTCCAAACGCTTGGCTCTCATTGCGTCATACGTCTCGCTTTGTTTGATCCAATTTTATCCCAGATTGACTAAATCTCATCCCGTGTTGAGTTTAGTGTATCTCTATTGAGCTACCTTTAAATTATTTCTTAGATTTCAAGAAAAAAATTTGAACACATTTATTTTAGTCGCGCAACGCCCGATCGCATCTTAAAATGCAAAAAAAACGACTGTATCAAAATTCGACGAAAATTGACAGGATAACCAGATTTGGCAAGACAAATACAACAGTGAGGTCCGTTTTTTCCTCCAAATTCTAAATAAATTAGAGTTTTTTAACTTGTACCGTAACTACTAATTACTGTTTTACCCTTAATAAAATTTTTATTTTTGTCAAGTTTTACAATTGTTCAAACATTGTGTCGAATCTTAAGAATCTCAATTCAATATGATTCTCGATTCTCAAATCTAGGATTTCGATTCCCGATACGAATTTCAATTTGATAACTGTTTTACAATAATAGAGTACTTTGATCCAGCTTAACAAAATCACCACAACAGTCACCGTCTTCCAAAAGACATCTTCTCTCAACATATGGAATGGAAACTTTTCAATCCCAATCTATCCACCCAAAAAAGACATCATATCCCTTCCAAAGTTTAACTTCTGGTACCCATTTCGATAGTTCAACCATACCAACCTCCTCCGAGAAGAACATTTTATCACTATATATGGCATGAACCTAATTCCCATTTTCACAAAAGAATACGGCTTTGTTAACTTGAAAAGGTTTCGACACAATATTGAAATTCACCCTCTTGATCAAAGTTTCTAAATCTAGACCCAAGGAACAAAAATGATTTCCCTACTACAAACTACAACATTCTTCCACCTACCAAAACAGAGAATTCCTTACTCTTCTCAATTACGGCACTCTTGTCGCTGTACAAAGGCACCCCTTCGATACTATTATTCTTCGCCCCCTTTCTACCACATCTTAGAAGTCCATCCACTATGCTTGAAAAGTTTCTCCAACCATAAAGATCATTCTCCTATGGTGCAGTTATGAAGACTCTCTTGCTTGAAGAATGGTTTTTGAATATGGTAAGGAATTTCCCATTCCTGTTGGACTTCACCACCCATAGTTGGTATGTGTTACTTCTAAACTTTCTGAAAAACTTACTCGATCCTCTCCACTTACTAGCTTCCTTAGCCATTTTGCACAACTAGGAAGTTGCCCCTAATCTCACAAAAATTGAAAAACTAGCATCGAGTTCTTTCAATAATCTTGATAGCATCCCCGCAAAACCTTCATCCACTTCGACAATGAATATTTTCCAAACAATTTTAACGTCATTTTTAAGATGTTTGAAACTCTTACAAACTGAATCCATTTACTCATGAACGGAATTTCAAAACCTTTGAACCTTACCCCAACAATCTAAAGCTTAATTTGATTTGCTAAAATCCAAAATTGACTGTAAATGTAATTTCCATTTTGNTCTATCCACCCAAAAAAGACATCATATCCCTTCCAAAGTTTAACTTCAGGTACCCATTTCGATAGTTCAACCATACCTACCTCCTCCGAGAAGAACATTTTATCACTATATATGGCATGAACCTAATTCCCATTTTCACAAAAGAATACGGCTTTGTTAACTTGAAAAGGTTTCGACACAATATTGAAATTCACCCTCTTGATCAAAGTTTCTAAATCTAGACCCAAGGAACAAAAATGATTTCCCTACTACAAACTACAACATTCTTCCACCTACCAAAACAGAGAATTCCTTACTCTTCTCAATTACGGCACTCTTGTCGCTGCACAAAGGCACCCCTTCGATTCTATTATTCTTCGCCCCCTTTCTACCACATCTTAGAAGTCCATCCACTATGCTTGAAAAGTTTCTCCAACCATAAAGATCATTCTCCTATGGTGCAGTTATGAAGACTCTCTTGCTTGAAGAATGGTTTTTGAATATGGTAAGGAATTTCCCATTCCTGTTGGACTTCACCACCCATAGTTGGTATGTGTTACTTCTAAACTTTCTGAAAAACTTACTCGATCCTCTCCACTTACTAGCTTCCTTAGCCATTTTGCACAACTAGGAAGTTGCCCCTAATCTCACAAAAATTGAAAAACTAGCATCGAGTTCTTTCAATAATCTTGATAGCATCCCCGCAAAACCTTCATCCACTTCGACAATGAATATTTTCCAAACAATTTTAACGTCATTTTTAAGATGTTTGAAACTCTTACAAACTGAATCCATTTACTCATGAACGGAATTTCAAAACCTTTGAACCTTACCCCAACAATCTAAAGCTTAATTTGATTTGCTAAAATCCAAAATTGACTGTAAATGTAATTTCCATTTTGCCCCATTCCTTCTTCCTACATGAGAGGAGCCATTCCATTTCACAAATTTAACATGTCCTCCTGGTCTGTGAGAACCAAAAGGCAATTACCACTTCAAACTATAGCAATTATGGAATTTGATACTGTTGCAGTAGTGAATTGACCTTCACAATATAAAGAAATTTAAACATAAACGGTAGCATCTCTAAATGTTTCCCCTTGTAAGGAAAAAAACGTTGGGGGGGTTGTTAATATCAACGTCAATTCTGTGGCTCAAGCAATCATATCTGAGTAATGATTTTTATCTCACTTCTTTTGATTGCATAATGCACAGAAACTATTTCTGAGGATGCCAAGCACCTCTATGAAATTAACAAATCTCAAAATCACCAATTAGTCCTCCAATGCTAGCTAGTTGCCTAAGCAATCAATTGATGGTTGCAAGAATAATGCTTCTATCTAATTTTCTAATTACATTTTCACCAGAAAATGTAGATTCTTTCACACTAAGATGCTTCCCAGGCTTACAAAATATCTTCATGCAAAGCAAATTTCTACTTTCAGCTAGTTGACAAAATCTATGTACTTAAAATTGAGAATCTAATATCCATGGTAGATTATGTATCATTTGCTTTGTTCTCTTTTCTGTTTTTCTCATTCTCATTTTTTCGTTTCTGCTCTTTGTCGTTTAGCTGCAAGATTTCTTAAGGAACTTATGTGTTTAATATTCAGCAAATTACATGAAAATGCTACTTGTTACTTCAACACTTGAGAATTACACAACTCTCCGACATCTGGTAGGTTAGGTGATGTTTGGTATTGGTTCGAAGGTGCACATGTGCTAGCCTACACATATACCCACATGCAGCTCATTATATTTGCTTCACATCTAAATTTACTACTTTCTTCATTATTTGTAACAGTTCTTTTCTTGGGGGGTTGGAATCTTTCTATTACGTACATATTTGTTTGGCAATATTTTCCAAAAGTAATTATTTTGGAGGAAATTTATAAAATAATGTGAATCATTACTACTTGAAAAAATTCCCTTACCTTCAGCATTTGAACCCCTTCTTGAAACGTAAGTCGTAGGGTCTTTCGCAAGTACTGCATATTCAACAATTATCGTCAGTAATCAGTTTCACTACGAGGGCAAAAGTAAAAGAATTGACAGGTTTACTCCTTAAACACGTGGCAGATACAAAATTATACTTTGCAAGATCATACTATGCAGAGTGCATCGAACATTTGTTCATTGTGTTTTTGTTTCCAATTTGTGAAATATACTCTTGGGTAATGGCGGGATCCTTTTGGCGGTTCCAAATTGTAATGATTTGGTGCTTAGTGGGAATTTTGATGGATTTGGTTCAAGTCCTAAAGCCAAGGTTCTTTGGAGAAGTGTGGTGTTGGTTTTGGTTTGGGTGGTTTGTGTGGAAATAAATAGGCAGATTTTAAAGATAAGGAGGCTCTAGGGGAGTATATTGGGATAAAATCTCCTCCATGACACCTCTGAGTGTCAACATCCAAAGACTTTGAAGAGATTCCATTATTTTTAAACAAGAACCATTGGGCTAAAGTGTACGAATAGGGGTGCCACCTGAATTTTTCATATTTTCATTGTTATTTTGCTCTATTGTGACCTTGTTTAGGCTTCCCTTTTCTTCTTTCTTGATGTATCTATTGAAATCTCCTTGTTCTCTCATGTACTCGTCCCCTTTTTCATTGTAATAATATTCTATCATTTCCTATATATAAAAAAAAAAGGAGCCTTTATTTTCTTGCCAGTAAAAAAAGCATGTATTGCATCGAAATTAAACCATTATATAATGAACTTTAACCGAAAGTAGGATGAATGATTAGACGTGATACGGTTCTAACTTTACTATGACTACAAGAAGTATCACATAGAATTGCGACCTTCAAAGGCTCAAATGGATACTGCTTCCCAATAGCTTCAAGCTCCTTTTGGCAATTCTCTTCCAAACTGTCAAACATTGTAACAAATAAACGGTCCACGATATCCATCACCTGCATAAATATAGTCAATACCCAACTAACTCAACCATGTGCATTGTAAATGCAGGCCTTATGGTAAACAAAGCCATACCTCAGAATAGTGCTCCTTAATCTCCATTTCAGCATCAAGACCAGTAAATTCACACAAATGCCTGTGAGTAAAAGAGTCTTCTGCTCTAAAAACAGGGCCAATCTCAAAAACACGGCCAAAGTCTCCACAGATTGCCATTTGCTTATGAAGCTGAGGTGACTGTGCCAGGCATGCTGGTTGCCCTTTGTAATCTAGTTTGAAAACAGCTGAGCCACCTTCACTAGAGCCTGCCATCAGTTTTGGTGTATGGATTCCAACAAAACCTTCATATAGCAAAAATTGCCTGAATATCTGCACAANCTGAGCCACCTTCACTAGAGCCTGCCATCAGTTTTGGTGTATGGATTCCAACAAAACCTTCATATAGCAAAAATTGCCTGAATATCTGCACAACAATAGAAGAATATTACAAAACCCACCAAAAAGATTTTTCCAATCCATAATGATGTACCGAACAATACCAACATTTTTATTACTTGACTATCCATCGGAAGAAACAAATACAAAAGATATGCTTATGTAAATCCTGGTATCTATGAAGCATGGACACTCTCAAGAAGATGACGTATCCATGTCAGACCCTGACACTTCTCAGACACCCTCGGGCATGCGTCTGATACTCTTTTATCCGTGTCCATAATTAAATGACAAAATTTTAATTTCAAACACGTGTCCGATACTTCTTTAGACTATCTATAATACTAAACAATAAACATGTGACTTACAAAGCTTTAAAAAATATCTTATACTATGACAGAACATATAATTATCAAGACTAGACATATTAAAGTTGTCTTCAAAATATAATAATAAAAGCAAAANGTATAATACTAAACAATAAACATGTGTTGACATGTGACTTACAAAGCTTTAAAAAATATCTTATACTATGACAGAACATATAATTATCAAGACTAGACATATTAAAGTTGTCTTCAAAATATAATAATAAAAGCAAAACATGCAAAACAAGTTTTAAACAAGAGAAATTGAGAAAATAAGAACAATTCTCTAACCTATATATATTGGGTGCATGTTGTCTACAAAAACATTTATGATTATTTGACTATTATGATGATTTCGTCAAAAAATTCACACTAGATGACTCGATATAACATTTACTTATTATAAAACACTGAATTTTTTGTGAATAGTACAACATTATCACTATATTTGCCACAAATTATATAATTTTATGTATCATACAACAATTATCTGCAGCGTATTCCCAACGCGTCCATGTTCTATTTTTTTAGAAATATTGTGTCTGCGTGTCCGTATCATATCCTTGCTCCTTNCAACATTATCACTATATTTGCCACAAATTATATAATTTTATGTATCATACACAATTATCTGCAACGTATTCCCAACGCGTCCGTGTTCTATTTTTTTAGAAATATTGTGTCTGCGTGTCCGTATCATATCCTTGCTCCTTTTTAGCTCAGTATTTTAAAATTTCTCTAATTAAACTTAATTAATGATTAACATATGGGTATATGTAAATTCAGTGAAATTAAGTCTCTAANTTTTTAGCTCAGTATTTTAAAATTTCTCTAATTAAACTTAATTAATGATTAACATATGGGTATATGTAAATTCAGTGAAATTAAGTCTCTAATCCTTGTGGGTAGCATGCAACAAACAATCATAGTTTAAATTTCGCTTGAAATTGGATTCTAGGGATAATTGAAGGATGGAAGCTGTAATTAGGCTAGGGAAGGTAATTAGACACAAAACTAGATGTTTGTAGGTCAAAATAACATGCCATTAAATCTGGAATGTCAAGAAACATTGGGATTAACACTTGGTCGGTGTTAATATCCTAAGAGGTAAAATAATAATTTTGACATATAAGGTATAAATAGACTTGACTTGAGAATTGTGATTAGTCCTTAATATTAATGTTTTTAGGCTAAATAATATTACCAATAGAACCGAGAGGTAAAGAAACCTTAAGATAGATGATTGATAGGTTGCACGCTTAAGAAAGGGTAAAATGGTCATTTTTGGCATCTTCGGGATTAATTCAGCCTAAGTTTTTGGATAATTCATAAACATAAATATTTTTGGGTTAAAATAATATTAAAAATAGATCCAAAATTTCAAAAAAATCTTACGATGCCATATAGGTCAAATCGGAAAGTGTAGGGGTAACAAGGTCATTTTGTAGGCTAATATTGCTCCTTGGATAAATTGGGTAGTAGACTAAGGTGGCCGACTGATATGAAGGCAGTCAACCAACTCCCTTTGTGCTTGGGGCAGATTCTTTCACCGTCTTAGGTTATTATTTCATGTGCCTCTAAATATTACTTTGCATGCACCTACTTGACATGGAACACAACATTCCTTCAAATGTCAAAAATTGTCTATAATTAGTTAATTTTTAAGGTACAATTCTCAATAATTTCCTTTTAATGTACATAATTATAGAGTCTACAACAAAATTATCTTTCATTTTATTATGAAACTTAATTGACATTATCCTCCATCTTAATTAAAAATTTATTCTCTTGAAATAATAGAAAATGCTTTTGGATTAGAGAATTTTACCTTTTGTATCTAACTGTATTTTACTGGGTTATGGAATACTAAGTCACCGTAAATTATTCAAGGACAAGTATACAACTGTTTTAAAAAAGTAAGGCAGTGTATTCATGTTTTTTATCAATATATATACAAATCAGGTCAGGTCATTTCACGCCTGTTTTAATCAATCCAATGATAAAACATTTGATCATTGGACCACTAATTTACTGAAAATAAATAAGACTAATACCACTACACAAATTTTCCAAATTAGGGGCGCAAATGAAGTAAATTGAACAAAATTATGGCCAAATTAGGGGGCAGATGTATTAGATTGAACAAAATTATGGACTCATTTCAGCACACACATATAAGGATATTAGCGAAGTCATTGTTATCCATGTGTAGCTCCGCCACTGAAAGTTGTCAAGATATTTGGTTAGTACTGATTTGACTAAATGTAAATTGATTATTTTTTGGAAAGATTTTGCCTAAATTTAAACTCGGCTTCAATTTTTAAGAATAAGTGGATTGATTTACAATCATGCCATTTATTTTGAAAGAAAAAAAAACGGGGCACGACAGCTAACCAAAATGATTGATGAAATAGCAATTAGTGCGGAAACATCTAATTGAGCAAAGCTGGCACAATATATTCAATATTCTAATTATATGATAAGGAACTTCATCAAGTAATTAACTATACTTGCGTGAACCCAGAAAAGAAAGAAAAAAAGAGAGTAGACCCAAAAAGGATGAAAACAATTGTGAAAAAGGAATATCCAAAAAACAGGTGTTTAAAGATGATAGTACCCAAACCACAACAACCATTTAAACACTAACCATTGCTATCCCTTATCTCTACAAACCAGTGTTATGAAAAGCTCGCCTAGGCAAGAAGCAAAGCGAGGCGAGGATGTCTCGCCTTGAACAACGAAGGTAAAACGAAAATGACTGAAGTGATAAAAAAAACGAGCGCCTCTGTCTTAAGCGAAAGGCGAGAAATCGAGCGCCGTAGATAAGCGAGGCGCGATTGTCTTAGATTGTTTTATTTTTATTATGGACCATTGGATTGGGACAATTGAAAAAAATTATGAGATGTTTATACACCCAATTACCCCTTTATCCCAATATATACAGCACCCAAACCCTAATTTTGCTCAAAGGGTTAGACGACGACTTCTTCTGCTGCTGCTCCTTCCTTGCTGGTCGACGACTACTGCTGCTCCTTTCTCGTTGGTCCACACACAGGTTTGTCTCTTCTTTTTCTTCTCTCTTGTTTCTCCTCTTCTTTTCAATTTCTTTTTCTTTTTTTTATTCTTCATCTTCTAGGTCCACAACTTTGCATCTACTACTGTCTTCTATTTCGACAAAAAAAAAAACCACACATAGGTACTGCTTCTACTTCGACAACAAAGGTGCGTTTTCTTCTCTCCTCCGTTCTCTTCTTCTGTTGGTTCTGGTTCTTCTTTTTCTTCTCTTTTTCTGCTTCTAATTTGCTTCTCTATTTCTGTTTCTCTTCTTCTTCATCTCTTTTTATGCTTCTGATTCTACTTTTTCTTTTTTTCTGATTCTGAGTCTACTTCTACTTCTCTCTATTTGATGCTGATATTTTTTGTAAACGCTTATTTTGCTAATTCTGTTTTTTTTTCTACTTTTGCTTTTTTTTTTTTTCTGCTTCTGCTTCTACTGTTTTTTTTTCTACTTCTGCAATTATTTTCTGCTTTTTATTTTTTTTTAACTGTTTGCTTTGCTTTGGTAAAGCGTGTCGCTTCGCTTCTCACTTCTCATCTACGCTTTAGGAGCTTTGGTCGCTTTGGTTCGCTTTACGTCAGACCACCATCAGTCCCCAATCCAAGCCCCATTCTCTCTTCTCTCTAAAATCGTCTTCCTTATCGCCACCACCGGTCAGCTAAGGTTGGTGCCAACCAGCTACGTGTACACTGTCTAGTGCAGCCATTCATCCCCCCTTCCCTCCTCTCTCCCCCACCCACAATCTCCGAAGAGATTTAGCCTTTCCACTCCTCCTAAGACCTCAAAAATCAATTTCAAACATCGAAGTATTGGACAACAAGAAGCTAGCACAATCCAACACATCTCTACAAAAGCAATCTACTACATAAAGAGTAGGCAAGTGGGCAATCAAGCAAAGAGATGATCAATACTTTCCTTACTCTTTTTACACATGATGCACCACGTAGGAAGCACACAGAGCTAAGATCTCCTTCAAAGCAAATAATTAGTATTAATTCTCTTTCAAGCAACAGTCTAGAAGAATACTTGAACTTTAGTATGTGTTTTAGCTTTCCCAATCATCTTGGAAGGTTCAAATTAGGGTATATAGAAAGATTATCAATCAAGATGTCAAAGAATGATTTACGAAAGAACTCCCGCAATGAAAGAGTAGCTGCCCCCTTCTATAAGGAATATTTTGTCCAAGTATGACACCATCCAATAAAGACAATAAAGAAAAAAGCTCAACAATCTTCCTATCATTGAGATTTCTAATAATATTAAAACACCAACTTATGAGAGACGAGGGACAAGACACCACAAAAGCAATTAGTATATACCGAGTTCAAGAGACACGATACTATCGAGGAAATGCTAGAATTTTCAATATTCGGTCTCTTCCTTTTGATTTAGTATGAGAACCATTAGTTTTTATGGCTTCACTTTGGACCAAAGCCACAAGAAATTTTAGAGGGATGTCTTTGTCGGATCTTCAAAGGAATTAGATGGTAACTTTACTTCAGTATTCTCTTTTTTGTTGGCCTTTTTCCCTATGTTATGTTACTTTACTCATTTTCTGAGGATATCTTGTCCTCAACATTGTATTGTGTTTCTTTATTCCTTTCTATAATAAAATTCTTCTTTTATTAAAAAAACACTCCTCCAAGCATCTTCCAAAATCAAATGACTTCCCCATTGTCAACAA